TGACTAGGATGTTCATGTTACAGATGACATTACAGAATTAAATGGAGTAGCTGTGGATGGTCAGCAGATCTGAGTGGTGAATCATGAGGAAGAGAGAGCTCTCAGCAGTTTATCACTGAGCTCCCCTAGGACGACACAGGGTCAGCCTGCAGAGTGTATGGCTGCCCTCTCTGTGGCCCCTCGCTCAGGCACTTCCCCAGCTCCTATTCTTTTCCAGTGCAGGCCAAGTGCTGGAATCCCGCTCCTAATTACCATATCAGTCATCCTGATCTATAAGCAAACACTGAAATGCCTTCATGACCAACTCGAAATGCAGCTGGCTTTCCCAATTGTCCCTGGTGGGGTCTAGTGCCCACCCCCCTCACTCAATGATCCCTGATTGGCTTTAGCTCTTCACCCAATTCTTGCAAAAAAGAACAGTCTTGCATTCTCCTTAGCAGCCTTTGTGATTATAATCAGCATTAGCCCACTGCCCCGCGGCTCAGTGATCAGACACTGCGACACTAAGCGGCTCTGACCCAAAATGTCTACTTTATCAAAGGTGGGAGATAGGAGTGCCCAAAAATAAAGATATTTACGGTAAATTTAAAACCTAAGCCCCCCTTCCGAAATAGTTATACTGAAGATTTTGACATCAAGTATTTTTCGTTACGAACTGGCTGGATGGCACAAGTGGTGGACCTTAGTCTACGGAACACGCATATGGACCATAGTCATTATAAGCTAAAATTAATCATTTACCCTGTTCACTGGAATTATCGCCACTCTGCGAAGCCAACCCTCCACTGGACGGACCCGGTGTTCCTGAGTGGGTGGAGCCTGTTTCATCGTGGTCCCGTATCCAAGAATTATTCTGGGGAAAAATCAAATATATATCTATTAGTTCTGTGTGCATTAACTGCAACAACTTGTGTGTCTGTGTGTGTGTGTGTGTGTGCGCGCGTGTGAAAAATGCTGCACCCTATTCAATTGTTTTGCAAAGCATTTGGGCGCATTTAAGTCTACTGAAATGTAATTGCTATGTATTACTCCACTTTGTGCATCGTATTTTCTTTTTTCAAAGCCTTATAGTTTTAACTCATTACTATTTATGGCCTCCAGCAATGAGCACATGTAAATGAATGTGAACCCTCCTCAGCATGTCACAGCAGGACAGGTCTGAACCAAGAAAACAAAAAGCCAACTTCCATAGTTTTCCAGAAGAGTTTTTTCCTATTTGGCTGTATGTACTAAGCCGTGATATCAGCTAGCATGATGTAAAGGAGGGCAACCTTTTTCTGGGTTGTCAGCCTGTACACTGTATATTGGATGCTCTCCTATAGCAAGGAATGGATGTATAATTCTTAACTGGTAGCATTTCATAGGTTTCAACAGCTCATCATTTTTTAAACAATATCCTGCTTTTCAGTTCCTCTTTAAGTCACAGAATGTGACCCACTGTGGTTGGGTTACCCTTTCAGACATGTGAATCAGGAGACATATGAAGTTACGCACACTGCAATCATTTGTGCACACTTCACACATATTAGAACTATCTGTGCAGCGTATGCATTTTATACATGTCCTGCCCGCCACCGACGATCCAGTAACCTTATCAACCTCACATTCGGTCCTAAGAGGCAGTGAAATGTTTGATCGCTAGCAGGTAGCGGCGGGCTCAGTAACAACACACATTCAGAAAGGAACTTGCAGCCGTTAGAGGGAGAACTTGATTTTCTATGGTTCCTTTTGTGAGAGCTTTTAGAAAACCTAACACCAGGGAGATAAGAGCAGGATGAAAGGAAATCTGCTGCTTGGGATGTGAGGGGTCGTTTTCATTTGTACATACACCCCCTCTGGGAGCTGAAGTGACCCTTATTGACCCTTTAATCCCACATTCAAAGGGTTTGCTGCCTTTAGGCTCCAGCACAGCTCCCTCTCTCCTGAACTGTGTAGTTTTAGCTGCTACTTCCAGGTGATCAGAGAGTTTTAGGTTCCAGCTGTGAAGATTTGGATACAGCCGAAACCGTGACCCCTTACCCTGTCCTGATTAACCTGGGGGCTGCAAATGGGACACAAGGGTTAAAGAGGGAGCAGGCTGCAGCTCTGACCCCGAGGAGGGACTAGGCAGGGAGAGTTTTGTTTAAAATCTGCAGGGGGTTCGATTCAGACATGAAATGTAAATGAAATACAGGCACTGGGGCCTTTACATGCTAATTCTCTCATTCTGTTCAACTGCAAAATGAGGAAAATACTCCCATATTTCCAGATAATGACAGAAACATGTTCTGGGGTCAGAGCCTTTGTGACCAAAGTGTAGCAATAACAGTGGCGTGTTTAACGGGTCAGTCTTTCTGAGGACCGGAGCGTACCAACGCCAGTGCCACGTTTAGTGAGTCGGTCCTTCTATGGACTGGAGTATTAATGTGTCAGTGACATTGTTAAAGCAGAGCCCCCCATCAAGATCAGAATGTACTGCTGCATGACAATGCAGACCAGACTCGCATGATATGGACCCAAGGATTTGCATAAATGTCAACCTCACTCACTTTTTTCCCCCAGCTTAAAGTAAGAAGTGTCATGTCTCTGTATTAGATTCTCGTAAGGAATTGAAAGTAGGTACCTGCAAATATACACTGCCTTGAAACCCATGATGCCTCATTATGCAAATCTTGACTTTAGTAGAGAAAGTCAAACTCCTGTTGGCTCTCTCCCTCAGGCTAGGTTCACACCTAGGCGATTCAGATGCCGAGCTGTTTTCGCGCGATTGTTGTGCGTTTTTGATCACGTGACTGTTCATTGAAAACCACGCGGTTATCGCGTGGTTTTCATTGCATAGAGATGTCTATGGGACAACCGCCTTCAAAAATTGCTCCTGCACCTTTTCACTCGATAGGCGATTTCGTCCGCGTGACAAACCGGAAAAGGTGTAAACAGACTCCATTGACTTATATGTGAATCTGTGTTTTGCGCCATATTGCGCGACCAAATCCACGCGATAAATCGCCTAGGTGTGAACCTAGCCTTAGCTCGCCATTGGTCGGTAAGGCAGCTGATCCATATGAGGGACCAATAGTGAGGGCTGCAGCTCATATTTCTCCATTCTCTAACAAACTGGCCTACAAAGTCATACCTGCCTCCTGTGTGACATTGTAAGGGACATTACTGTTCAGCACCACACTAAAAACAGTGTGGTGGTGTGGGAATATCTTCCCCGCCAGGCTGTTGTACTCTGATAGCCAGTGCCCGCAGCTTTCACAATTCACTAACTGACACTACCTGATTGGCTGCAGTTGCTGTTCGGCTTACAATTTTAAGCCCGGTCCCTTAGACAAAATTTGGTTGAAAATTTGACTTTTGTCAAACACAGGGTTGCTGGCAGGGCCACACACTGCTCAAATTTTGGCCAAAATTCGAGCAATGCATGGCCAGTATTGGACTGTGAGCTCCTCTGCTTCTGAGCAAATACTCAGCACCACCAGTAAGGGTAACAAGAGGAACTCTCTCACTCTTAACTAGATGATAATGGCACTTATATCAACAAATTCCACTCATACATCCTCTTCATCCAAACAATACATACAGTAGATACAGATATCATAGCATTCTACTGCTGGGTCCTACCCAGGGCTGCACAGTGCTTACACCCCAGTGGCACATGTGAGAAGAATAGGCGCCTCGAGTGAATAGGCTTAGCTAGATTGGCTATTAATCTCTATGTCACATGTACAATTTTCAGAGTACCAATCAAAGGCGGAGGACAAAGGGCAGAGGATGCGCTATAGGGTGTTTTTAGTGCCCCTAACCTGTAAGCCTGATCAGCTATAGTAAAATAAAAACATTATATATATATACATATATATATATGTGTGTGTATATACAAATATACAACACCTCCTAAGATGCCATAAAGTCATGTGTCCTCCTTTTTACCTGCAGTATCACAGAGCGGAAAGTGTTCTTTTCTATCACTGCTTTGCAGAGAAACTACAGGTTGTGACGCTGCAGTGCAAGATGAATGTATTCAGACCCGTCAGTCACTGCCCCAGTGGAGCTAACAAAATACACACACGGGGGTTAATTTAGCCAGAAGACAGTTAATCTACCAGTAAGCCTTTGGACTGTGGGAGGAAAAACAGAGCATCCAAAGGGAAGCAACATGAACATAGGATAACATATGAGCTCCATATAGATAATGCCTCTGGGCTAAAGAGGACCTCAGCGCTGCAAGGCAGTGTTAACCTTTGTAGTGACACCATGCTGCCAAAATTAAATATCCCTTGGAAGGCACAAACAAAGGTTTCCCAGAAGCTGTTTACCAACTGCGTTTCAACTTCCTTGGAAATGTTAGTGTTGCGACTAATTTTCCCGTTAATCACCGCCGTTTCTATGTTGGCCCTATGGGTCTCAGGGATCAGTAGCAAGAACCGAGAGTATTTTCCCACAGTCCCGCCAATCAGATCCAATCCTGCACCAGGCTATGTTATTTGAAAGTGTGAATCTGATTGGTAGCTGTCAGGAATACAGCCAGTTCTTCTTGCTGGTGATATTATACACAGTGGGGGGAATTCATCAAAACTGGAGCAAACAGAATCAGGAGCAGTTGCCCATGGCAACCAATCAGCATCTCTCTACAGTTTGCTCAGGTAAGATATGAAAATGAGAGAGAGATGCTGATTGGCTACAGTGCAAATCTACTCCAGATTTTGTCTGCTCCAGTTTTGATAAATCCCCCCTAATGTCCTTTGTTGCAATACAGAAAAATTAAGGCTGCATTCACACCTGAGCGACACCTATTACACACGTCCTGCACACGTTTTTACGAGCAGATTGCGGCATATTCACAAAACGCGCTGGATATGCTCATAGATGCAACGCGCATTTTTCAAGCATTCTCTTTTGAGTCAATGGGGAGAAAACGCGCTGCATCTGCCCCATAGTATTTTATGTAGTATTTCGTGGAACAGGCGTATTTCTGCCTGCGACAAAATGCCCATAGAAAGGGCCATAGAACTGAATGGGTATCCTGGGGTCCAGCGTTTTGTTGCGCTGATTGACGTGCGACAATACGCTTAGGTGTGAATGGAGCCTAGGTGTTCAACAACCCCAAAAAAAGTTCCCTGAACCTAAATAGATAAAAGGTGAAAACAGATCAGCTAGCTGGAGTCATTTTATCACTTCTTTGCACACACCCCTTCCCCCTGCATGTCTTATAAATATGGCGGATTGAAGTGGCTCTGTCGTACATTTGCCTGTAGCAGATAAAACAGCTGAATTAGCAGCTGCACACTTTTATTGCTATTTAATAATAAAGGAATATAGAATGTCCAACGGAGGTGGAAGGCATGATAATGAGCCGCGAGCATGGGCAGTGTTGGTCTGCGGCGAGGAAAGGGTTAGGTGGCGATGCTGTGAGCAGGGTGACATGCACACAATAGGCTGCTGCTTGGAATTTGGAATTAGTGCACTCAGTGCGAGGCCTCGCTCTGTATCCTGCTCGCTGCTTAGCCTGGAGGAATATTAAAAATGCATCAGTCCAGCTATAGGCAAATGCATCATCGCCTGCATTAGTTTGGGAAGAGAGGCGGGAGAATGCCGGGCAGGGCTTCGTCAACTGGAGGGGAACGTAACCAACAATTACAATCCTGGGATGTGCCTCATTAAAGATGCAGCACAGTGTGTGCGGGGGTCCACTTCTATCACATGCCCACGTTAATGTACACACGTCACAACAAGGCTGTTACACACTGCAGCCTACTACAATAGGTACATTCATGTCCACGCACAAGCCGAGGAGGCACGGCCTGCTTGCTGGGAACCCACCACATTCAGGTATTGCTAAAGACAATCAGATAGAGTCATGCTGGCCACACATGCACTGTGCTTGCTTTTAGATCCAATCGGAATTTTGACCGTATTCAGTAGTGCGTCATGCGTTTACTGCAATATAAATTACATTTTCATTACAATGTGCTTCCTTTTCTACACCCTGAAAAAAAATGTTCAATTGTACCACACGCATTACAACCCCTTAGAGAACAATGGAGTCTTTTCCAGTCTGAGCGGTCACTTTCTTGCCAATTTGGCCACAAAATAAACCGAAAATGATCGAAAAATGGCCGCAGTTTGATTTCTATGATATGATGAGAATATCGAGACAAAATAATAAATGACAAAGAGGTCAGAAACACGCAGAATCTTCAGTAATCTTCCGACATTACTTGACAATGAACACCGCTAGTAATGGCCGTATAGTCATTTCCATTGCCTCCAACACAGCTCAGTATCATTCAGAAATCATCTCTGTAGCTCAGATCGGTGCGGTGGACTTGTAATGGTTAAAGGACTAGGATGTATTTAATAAGAGGAAGTTAAGGAACTGCTAAAATTACTAAATACACAATATTATTGCTTCTTTCTACAGCCTTTTAAACAGGAAAGCAACTTACCGCGTATATGAGCCATTCAACCCATTCCACCAGGTCAACAGAAGAATGCCAAGAACAGCCAGTCAGAAAAGGTTGCCATATTTTTTCTTAAATCAGCCCTGATTAGTTGTGGCATGCTGAGGGTGAGGGCTGTGCAGAGGAACTCAAATATAAGTTTGTGTACATATTCCTGGGATTCAAAATAAAACTAAAGCCAAAACTTTTTTTTCATTAAGGATAGAGTAAGAGAGAGTTATAACCCCTGACAGCTTTTTGCCATCTGGGTCCTATTAGGAAGATTGCCCTTCTCTTCCTGCCTGATAGCCACAACAGGAAGTAAGAGGAAATCCTTCCGAAGTGAGGGAGATCCTTGATTTTCAGCAGGATCACATAACTAGTGTCCCCATTGGAAGGTTTCTTCTACTCCTATTGTGGTGACAACTCAAAATGTGGGATTTTCTTTTATTTTCACAGGGTTATTCACAAAAGGGTGAAGAGTTTGGAGAAGGCAGGAGAAGGGAACAATCTAGGAGAAAATAGCTGAACTGGGAAGTGAGCTGAATTGGAGAATGTTTCCAAATCAGCTATGTTGTCCTAGATTGTTCACTTCTCCAAACTCTTCACCCTTTTGTAAATAACCCTGTCAGTGATAACTATCACCAGGACAGATAGAGAAGGTGAATCTCTGTAACTGGGACACAGAGAGCAATAAGACCTGACGTTCTAATCCTTCTTCGCTCCATCCAAAACTAAAAAAAAAGGAAGTTTTGCATTTAGTTCTACTTTAAATCCACAAGCACGCTATAAAGAACATCTATTTCTTCCGCAGAGTCTGAACTACACTGGGGTTATGCTGCCTGGCCATTGTGCATACATTCTGCCTAGGGGAGTTCATAAAGCTTTAGTGATGACACTTTGGCTATTGAGAATAATTCTAAATAAAGTACCATCAACCTTCTTACGTCAATGAATATCTCAGAACCTGACTATAAGTGTACACAGAGGACAGGCAGTTCATTATAAATCTAAGGTAATAATACTTCTGATACATGATTTCAATGAACCAGATTCTAAAGTATTCTATGAGTCTATTCACTTAAGGGTTAGTTCACACCAGATGCAGTTGTGATGCAGTCCGTTCCGTTTGGCAGCTGCATCAAAATCGCCTCACAATGCTTTCCAATGGGATTTCTGGTGCTCTGTTCACACCAGTGTAGTCCGTTCCGATGCAGTCAGAAAGAATACTGCTTGCCACATTTTAGCGGCACCTGATCACAATGGAATGCATCAAAACACATGCAAACGGACTGGACTGCACCTGAAAAGCCCATTTACATTTTAAAAATGCAGCAAACCGCAACGTGCTGCAGCTGTGCAGACGCACGCAGTTCTGGTGTGAACAAGCCCTCAACCATCCTCCGTGCGTTCCAGCCCAAATGTGGCCAGAGCACACTGGATCTCATTGCGGCCGGCTCACTTTGTTTTGGGTCGGGAGTGCACACACTATTTTTTCAGACTGCTCCGGACCGGAACGCAGGCACTGATGTGCCACACGTTCACGTGCGGCCGATCGCATTGCGGCCGGAGGGTGTGGCTACGATGCCATTGAGCTAAATGCACCACCATGCCCCCTCCTGCCTCAATATAAAGTGAACCAGCTGGAATGCAATCCAGTGTCTTCCAGCCACAATCGGATGTTGTGAACTAGCCCTTAAAGCGCGGGTTTGGAAGCAGTTCGGCTCTTCTCAGATGTAGGTTGCATGTTGTAAGGTAAGTAGGTAATGAAACGCCTTGACACATACCCTTACCTGGTCTGATAGACTTGTACAGGATCCTGTGAAATCTTCCAGGTCTGATTTGGAGGAGCCATCACGGTCGTCTATCACCAAGTCGATGGGCATCTTGCCTTTCAGACAGGTGATGTATCGATGGCAGAAGTTATCACACAAATCATGAACCTGCAAGGGGCAAAAATAGTAATGTGTTAGTCCGGAAAAAGTATCCACCTAGCTAAGCAAAGTACTCTTAGGACCTCACATTGCTGGTAAACGATAGAATAAATTATCATTAATGCTGAACTCCAGGATTTTTGTAAAAAAAATGCTCTTCCAGTGGGTCTCCCCGCACTCTTAAAGTTAACAACTCATTAAGTCTATTGGAATAAGCCCCAATACTTACCTTACTTTTAAGTCCGGCAGGTTGCGGCTCTCGCCTCTCTGACGCTCCAAGCTATGGACAGGCCCTCGCTACCCTCATACACAATACAGGACTGCTGGCCCAGCACTGTACACAATGATGTCAGAATACAGCCTACGGCAAGAGAACCAAAGAGAAGAGGCTTTGGGGACCAGTCAACAGCGTGGTAGGCGTACATATTACAGCATATTCCTTTACCTCTATTTAACCCTTGCAGTGCAGGGGGGGGGTGTTACTGTAAGGGTATTTGTTTTACAAAAATGCTGCAGTTTTGCTTTATCTGGTTAATCTGATTAATAAGGTTACAGGGCCATCATGCTGCTCCTTGCTTTGGACCCCAATGGTAAGATATCCCCAACAGAATTTCCAGCTTCTACCAACTACCACAGCGTCCAGTACAAAGCCAAATAAAGATGTCCCAATGTGGGATGAACAAATAGAGGAATTCAGCCTTTTTGGGAAAGCAAGGAAAGTGTCAGTGTGAAGATTTGTTGGCAAACAGATAAACAGACTTACACTGTAGAGCAGAGGTAAGCAACCTCAGCACTCCAGCTGTGGTGAAACCACGAATCCCATCTTGCCTCTGCCTCTGGGAGCCATGCCTGCGGCTGTCAGAGTCTTGCAATGCCTCGTGGGATTTGTAGTTCCACAACAGCTGGAGTGCCAAGGTTGCCTATCCCTGCTGTAGACAGGGCAATATCCTGAACCTGAGAACCTAAAAGTCCAGCCATGTCTTGCCGTCACATGCTTAAAAAAAGGCATGCTGGGACTTGTAGTCCTTAAACAAGTGGAGACATAAACAGGTTGACCATAGCTCCTATAGACTGAGACAGTCACCAAAATTTCTGAAAGCGACATCCCACTGCCAGTCAGTAAACTGGGTGTAAGGTGAACACAGAGAGGGCAATCTTTATCCAGTTATAACACACAGCTCTTACCTCCCACCTCTACAACCCCCAGGCCCCTTCTTTAATCCTCCCTGATTCCCAGCAGGCCAGTGAAGGGAATCAAAGGGTTAATTACCACATTAACAAGAGGATTATCTGGTTACAAACCAGCAGCGCCTCTTGTATCCTTTAATGAGCTCATTAGCTTATCAAACCAGAGGGGCAGTTCTGAAGTGGTGCCTTTCATCTCTGCCCCCTCCCCTGCCTCTCAAAGTGGTATGTGCCAGCAGTGCTCTTCCACAGCCTGACGGGATTCTCCATATGGGAGGAGGCAGGGGGAGCACTTTTTTTTTTCTCCTGACTGTACAATTAACCTTTTCTTGCCTGCGGGGCATGCAGAGCACGCCTTGGTATGCCTCCTCATCTTTACATGCGCAGCTCATTACTGCACCTCGCATCCATCCGTGTAAAATAGACAGAAAACTACATGCACTGCGTAGCAGTTGACCTAAATATCCAGCGGACCTTAATGTGTTTATGTACAGCCCTCACAGTATACACTGAAGCAGTAATATCTAGCAGGTTCTGCAATCTTCTAACCAAGAGAGCTTACAATCTAGAGGGCTAGATCAGCTCAGCTTATTGTATTCCCATTAAATTTACTAGAGGGTCTCTACACTACAAACATTGTATTGTCACTCTTGTGTTAAGAGGTACAAATACCATTCATAACGAAGTATACAAATGTCTCTGTGCTAGTAGAGAAACTGAGATAATGAGACATTTATGTAAGTTGGCTTTGCAGCCAGTTATTCTATGTTGGCTGTCACGTTAGGCAAAAGGCATTGGGATGACAGTTGGTCATTTTCCTTTGTGGGTTACAGACCGGAAGTCAACTTCATTATGTTGCCATCATTTTAGATATCTTCAGTTCTGATTATCTCCAGAACCTTGTACCCATTTACCTGCAACTAATATTAAAACCCTTTTTACCTAGACCACAAGGTCATTTTTACAGAGGCAGCTCAGTGAAGAGACACACTGCACTCGATCATGGATTTGTCTGCAAAGCTGATGTACATGTCAATTAAAGGAGAACTATGGGGTTAGGGCTTTTCCCCGTAGTTCTCCTTAGGGTAACCGGAGGACACAAACTAGGGTCCTCCCGTCACCCTATGCTCAGTATACCGCGAGCTGTAGCTCGCGGTATACTGAGACGAGGCTACTGACCAGATTTTTCTCCCAGAATCCTCTATACCAGGAGTAGCCAAACTTCCGTCCTTCCAGCTTTCAGGAAACTGCAAAACCCATAAGGCATTGCAAGATTCTTGACAGCTATAGCCATGACTCCCAGAGACAGGGACTCCCATGATGGGGTTTGTAGTCTCCTCACAGCTGGAGGGCCAAAGTTTGGTTCCCCCTGCCCTTTGCCATTGGGCAGATCATTGTGCAGCAAATCTTGGAGTTCCCAATGATTCATATGCCTGCACTTACCTCCTATATATATTGTGGAGACGCAGTATTTTACATCAACTGCAACACATTAAAGGAGGTTGAACCTAGCTGGAAAGGCCCCCGCATTTAGAAAACATTATCCATCATTTCAATTGTACAGAGTGTAGCTTCACTGCGATAGTCTCCCTTCATTACACCACAGACAAGGGCTAACAGTTATAAAGCATTGTGTGTGGGTTACAATTATTAATCTGCCCATTCTCCCTCTGTTAAAGTGAACCTGTCAGAAGCGAAACAGGGGCGCTATCCCTGCTGACGTGTTTGTAAAGGTGCATGCTCCAAGGCTGTCATCCTTATCCTCCACTACCTGGAACAACACCTAATATATATATGTTTTCCAGGTCAATGGCTCACCCTAACTAAGGATAACTAAGACAGCCCTGGAGCCTGCACCTTCACACCTGACAGGTTCCAAGTTGTCACAGCCCATACAAGACTGCACAGCATTTAAAGGGAATCTGTCACAAAGCAAAATATCTGGGACGGGAAGCATTTGTCCTGACTCCCAGGTCCAATACTACTTATAAGGGCTTTAAAACTGCACCAGCTTGTTTCTCTAAAGGTGTACGCAGCTTAGGAGTCAGAATAGCATCTTTCACACACACGGGCATGTTGTTTTGCAACCTAGCCTCTTTCTGGAACTGCCCTCAGGCCGGTAGGACACGCTGTGACTTGTAGCTCATCAAAAGCTAGATGCTCACCAGTGTGTAACAGGCTGGCCATTGCCAAACTCCCTGACTGCTGGTTTTTACAGCAGTTATCCTGCGTCTAACATATGACGTGTCTTCTCCTCCTTAGCTGAAAACTGAGAGGGAGCTACTGTGTCTTGAGGGCTGTAGTGTTCTGTGTATGTGGAAATAATTGTTCAGCTTGTCCCAGTTACAGTACTAGAGGGTACAAACCTTAGCTCAGCACCTCTTCACATTGCCACCCTCACCTCCCCAGATCAGCATGCACATCACTGAATTCACCAAATCACTTTCTGCTCACTTGAGACCGAACAGCTGAACTGTAACAACCGGGAGCCCCCAAAAAGGTTGATAATTCTGTATTTTCCCTTACCTTTTCCAGCTCTAACAAGTGAAATCGTAAAACCTGGATCGCCTGTATCATCTGCAAATGAAAAGAGAAGCAGAGCTGTCACTTATATCTGACACTTAAGTAATATAAGTAAGTGCTGCTGCAGGACAATATAGTTCATGCCTTGTAATCAAAGCCCGATATACACTAAGTGCAATGTACTGTAAGTGTGCTTTTCATGTTCTTTAGAAATACATTCACTGCAAGCAAGCCCAACTGGTGTGCGCTATGTAAGATGCATGAGCCTTATTTGTTGCACTGCGACTGTCCTGTAGCTCTAGATTGATCACTTCCTGAACCATGGCTTATACAGTGTTTCAAGAGCTTAAAAATCACAATATTCAATAAACCAATATTCAATGAGCTTACAACCACAATATTCAATAAACCAGTGCAAAGCACAGTGATGATGAGTATGTTCAGTAACCAGACTACTGTAGTCAGAATAACTAAGAGAACCTTTCCATTGTGCTTACCACCGGCCTGTCGAAAACAACTGCAAGCCTGACTGTCACTGTCTGTGTTGCCCAGCACCTAGTGCAGTTATAATGAAAGGGCAAAAGGGACTGGCTTCAGGGCTAACAGTACAGGGGGCCGCTAAGAGGATTTGCTAGTAATGGAGACTGGATTGTGATGCTCTTATCTCAAGCTCATATCTTAAAGCAAGAGTGGGCAAATGAATATGGAATTCAGGAGCCAGCCTGTCCAATCCAGGAGCCAGCTCCATTGCAAGCAACTAGAAAAGACCTCAAAAGTTAAAAGCCAGCTGTATTTTTTAGGGACCTTGACTCCTGGGATTTGTACCGCTCTGTATTAAACCCTTGGTGTTCTGAAAAGTCAATGTACTCTTTATTTAAATTAAAACATTATTTCATTCAGAAGGAAACAAAATCTCCTCCAGTTTGACAACATACTTCACATGTTTTAGTAAAATTTGCATTATAAGTAGTATGCTAGTGAATACAGGTAGACCTGTTGAAAGTGAGTGGTAACTGGGGAGTCCTAGTGTAATAAAAACATGGCCCAGCATGCTTTCGGATGTACAGCACTTCTTTTCAATGATCTCACTGAACCTGAAATTCCTAAATCATGAAATCTGACCTCAAGCTCTGCACAGGCTTCTGGGTAAAGTGGTAAGACAATTACAAGAGCAAGGGAATGAGAATGTGGATACGTTTTGTCTATACGTACTTCTATCATGGTTACAAAAAGACGAAATTTCATTTTCCGGTCATTTTAAAAAACGTGGCTCACGGTAGGTTGAAATGGAACGGCAACTGTAAACGTTAAATGGCCTATGTAACAATTACATTATGTAATTCAATCAAAACCAAATAGCTACCAGTTGCTTTAAAAGATCTGCCTGCTGCTAATTATCTCTGATTAAATAAAAAATATAGAACTATACAATAATATCTCTAGTTCAGCTATAACTACCCACCAGCCTAGATCAAAACCTTTTTCACCGAAGACCTGTGGCATTTCCTCTAAAGTCAAGTTACAAATGTTAGATTCACTCACAAGGAGCAACTTTTTGAAAAGGAAAAATGAAATGATGTACATCCTACAAAGGTGGCAGGCCCAGCTAGAATGACCTGTACCAAAGGCCTACTTGTGTTTTTACAGTCACCTGACCTGTATCAGTCAATCATTGCTTGCAGTGTAGATTAGGAAATGAATGGAGTAATGCAAAAGGTTCTAATAGGCAGTGGAGATGAAAATTGCACAGCAGCTGATAATGCAAAATTCCTTGTTCCTTCACACAGGTCTTACCAAGTTATCCAGCTCGGGATTGGACGAGAAGAGAGGTTTTTCCGTTCTGACCTGGAGACATAAAGCAGAAACACAGTACGTTACCATCAAAGAATGGAGCTCTCCGTCCCGCTGACACTGCGTGTATCCCCCCTCCAGTTCTCCTCCAGATAAACTTTGCATTTTATTTTCCAATAATCTATTAAACGTTGATCCTCATGCCTTGCGTATCCCCTAGAGGAGGCTCCTTTGCGGCCTCACGTCAGCAGCTCTCCTTTTATATCCTAAACCCTCTCGCTTTCCCCATCCATAAAACATCAACGAGGAGATATCGGGATTTTGCCTATTGCCCAACTTCAGAAAGAGACATTTGTTATAAGGAGAGAGAGTGATCGTGTATTTTAAGTGTTTCTCCATTGATTTTTTTCCTCCCTTAGTGTAAATATAGTTTAACATTATTTTACATGAACTCTGATATATTCTGTAAGGAGGAAAACCATCTTTATATTGCAGAAAACATCCCCATTTCAATTCAATGTATATTTCAACAAAATGCAGGACCCGTATTAGTTTAGTTCCTTATATGAGTGTTTGGATAGTTATCTTTATTGTTATCCTTATGTGGGATGTTCTAAAAATAAAAAAGGCCAGATTTTACCTCCATTCACTGCTTTACTCCTGAGGCTACTGTGGAATGCATTGTACTTGAAAGTCAGTTATAACTAGGTTACATGGGCATAGACTTGCCTGATGTCCACTCAAGAAGGAAAGGTGGGAAGGGAAGGTCTTGGCATATATTGCATATATATAATTTTGCCTAGCAAAAGCAAGTGGCTCATGCCTACCTACCATTTTTGTTCCTCCTCTACTGATTGGGGATCAGTGCCGTTGTGTGGATCAGTCCCATTGTTTAGCGATTTACCTACAAGCTAAACTATTTTGATTGAGGTCATAAACACTTGTTATTGACCCCTAAGCTACTCTTAAATGGCTTGATCCACGTACTGGTCTGCTGAATCATTGGCCAGATGGGGTTGTTTAAGGCCTTTATTCAGGCGCTTCCAATGGCCACTTTGTTGTGAACATTTAGTTTGTTTTGTGTACAAATCACACATGGCAAGCAGTACACTAAAAAAAATAACACTCTAGGGCCTGAAGAACTTGGCACAGAAAAAAAAACTAATTATAGATGACAATATGAAGTAAAAAATATCAAAAAGTAGAAAATGGGAGTCCTGGGGCTTCAAAATCCAGAACACCATGCCACGCTTTAAAAGGGGCACAAGGTAGAGACACTCCCTGAATCTATGTAACAGCCTCTCAGGGTGTACTGACACTATACTTCATTATTAGTCATTAAACTTACACTTTTAATTACATCGCCGGTGCACATATGCAGCACAGCAGTCCAATTACACTGAATAGTTTAAGAGCGTTCATTTAGCAATGCTGCATAGTTCTGCTTCTGACAGGATGGCTGATTAGATGTCTGATTCAAAGGCCCCCCCCATACCCAAACGAGGAGAACTCTGGTTATATGCTCCCTAGGATAACACACAGAGGGGGGCATAGTATAGAGCCAGCAAAAGTGGGAGCAAAGTAAACTCATACAATGTCAGGATATGTGCACTCATCTTTATTTGTGAGCTGCAGAAGTGTTTCTCACAGAAGGTTGCAGTTAAGAGATCAGATGTTTGATGGAGGAGGGTTCACTGCTGGGTGGAAATGAACTGTGTGCTTCATTGTCCTAAACTCATAGAAGCAGCATATTTTCTGAGCCAGGCTCCAGGTCCTACTGCATGCCCAAAGCACTGCTATGGAAGACTATTTGTTTCATAGGGTGCATTCAGAAATAACAAGCCAGCACAGCAAAATAGCTTTGACTTTTAACAGATTTACATAAAATAGATCTAGAAATGGATACATTAGATCAGGAATATTCTGTATCCTGCAGTACAGAAAAGGCAAATCAGTGGGACCAAAAAAACACAAAACATGCCTAGCTATGAATAGCTATATGGCACAGGCCATGCTAAGGCTTGTAGTCCCTGAAGAATCCAACTGGAATAATAAAGCTTGGCTACTTGTGGTTTTGGTGTTTAGGTAAGCCAAGAAAAAGTTCAAGAACCCGACTTGCGTTCCTCATTGGTTGAATGGAGCTGAAGACACGCCCGCCATCTAGAGATGTCAATTACAAGTCAGGCCAACTGTTCTTTATCTAACGTCAACATTCTAGGCTTCTAAGTGACCTTTCCTCTTTTGTGTTAATTGAATCCATCTTTTCCTGATCCGCATTCTTGATAAAAACACACCGCATCCAACAAACCATCCACTCTGGGGTTTTCTTTTGTTTTGTTTGTTTTTTAACTCTTGCTCACACTCACCTGTTTAGCAAACACTGCAATATCTTCATTGAAGGAGTCCGATGAGCACACGTCCCCCCCTGGGAAGGAGCCGGAATTGTCCCGCGGCGAACACGTCGCCAGTTCGCACTTCTCAAACACCAGCGCCAGTAGGGGAAAGAGGGGGTGTCTGTGGGGGGGAGACAGTGTTACAGTTACACGCTGATATGTCACACAGGGAGAAATAAAATCTCTCACGTTCAGAAAAAATAAAAAAAACAGAAGCCTCACATATCCCTCGGCTTTAGGGACCCCGATCACCCAGCTGTGGTTCAGAGAGCTAGCAGTCTACGGAAATTCAGAAGACTGCCTGGGAGCGCCGAGTAGGCCGAATACAAAGCCATTCATCAGCCAGGCTAACACAACGCAAACAGCAACAATCAAGTGCAGAGTACAGTAACCCATAGAAACTAGAGTTCAAATCATGACAATCAAATCAGACAATGATTAGTTCTGATTGGCCCGTAAGCACATCATTATTCTCTGTGGTACATTACTAAATAAGCTTGCATAAATTCACTGCGCTGAACGCGAAACAAACACATTAGAGTGATATATGGGCACAGCTACAATAAGTCGGAAAATAGATAACCATCAGTTATGTACACATAGAAATTAATAGATACATTAGGTATCCTGTATAAGAAAACATCACTTCCTCTACACAAGCGCAGCCACATCAAAGGTAGGCTTTCTATTTTGATAAACCTTATACGCCATCCGTGTACAGATATAAATATACACGTATGTGTATCGAGATCACTCCATTTTATTTTCCCAGCAGCACAGCAGACAGGTATCGTGTCCAGAAGAAGATGTTTGCATACATCATATACTAGCGGATTATAAAGACATATGTATTTTTAGATGTACACACACGTGTCTGTATATTTATAGACGGGCTGTGGGTGGTATTGTGTTACACTTGGACTCTTAACACTTATTTAACGAGACAAATCTCAGCCTCCGTTTAATGCACACACTTGGAAAAATGGCTTTTTTTTTTTTCTCAATCGTTTAATCAGAATATTATACCAGGAAGCTGAATTATTTTGAGGGTCGCAAGTCAGTGGCCGCTTTTAATCCCTGGGTTAGGTGTACAATGAAAATCAGCCACACTTTATAGGAAAACGCTAACAGTTACAGCTGATAGGATAATATATTACATAGTAGATGTAACAACACCTCGAGATCTGGATATACATAGTTATAAGACGTGGAACACCTGTGAACATATAAAGGGGCTTTTTTAGCACACAGCAACCAATGGGAATGCATCTCTTATTGATCCGCGTAGAAGAAACTAAAGAACTGATTGGTTATTGAGTTGGTGCACTTTATGGTCCGCACTGTTGTTTTAAATAAACCCCAAAGACTAATACTATACCAAGAAGTCATATACCGCTTTTTCCACAAGCCTGTAACATAAGGCACACTATATAATTTCCCAGATCCTGAAATATGCTGCTGTTTAGCAAACACAAACATTGGCCCCAACCCAGAAAAATAACTGTCAGCTCTTTCTCCAGATTAAATCCCTTCTTAAATCTGGAACACAAGCGAATGTTATATAGGATACAAGTTATAGCTCTATGCTCTCTCCAGCAAGACGTATAAATCTATTTACCTACGGGCTGTACATATTCCGTAAATACAATACAGGATTATATACCAGAAAGATTTCAATACATCCTGCCAATAATCCGCTTGTTGACCTGGTAAATAGACATACCACATGTGTACATCCGAGCCAAGAAGCTTCACACTAAACTCTCAATGCAAGCCTCATAAGTGAGCACGCTGCACGCTGCAGTTACGTGCAAACAACATACGTGTACAGAGGTGGACCGGAATGCGCTTGAGGTTGGAGAACGGGAAGTAACAATTAAACTATCAGTTAGATTATGAATTATGTTTACTTATTTAATTGCAAAGTTACACAAGTCTAACACATGACATATAATAATACAAATAGTTCTTTAGTCTCGCTCTATATGCTGACATGGGGTATATTTGTCAGCGATACAGAGGGGTAGTGAGTGTTGAAAAAAAGCACAAATTCCATATAAATAGGGGGCTCAGTAACGCAGAAAGTGACTTTTGACTGGCTCGCTCCCAATATAGACATATGTTTATATACATGGAGCTGAGCCCTTAAATATTTTTATAAACAGGTTTATATGGTGTAGAAATGTGTGTCTGTGTAACAGCACAGCTGCCATACATGTTCAGCCATAAACTGTATATATAAAGTGCGTGAAGGCAGCCCAGGCCCTCTCAGATCTGTACACAGCACAGTCCATTATAAACCCACTAAAAAGGTCAACGCTGGTATACAACAAGGCAGCAAACTCATGGAGGACAGCAGAATCGCTTACCCATAAATCTCATCCTTCTCCCTCTTCAGGCCGTCATTGCCGCCCATACCAGGGGGCATTGGGACCCGGTGAGCCGCCCCCGCAGACCCATAGGGTGAGCTCTGGCTGAGAGAGTGGTGCTGCATCGCTCTTCCTGTGTGTGCATCCCCAAAGCCGGCCAAAGGGATGCCATCTAACCCTGGGTAATGCACCATTTCGTCGTACTGCAACCACAGAAGCAAGAAAAATGTTAGATGTGAGCACACCGCATTTCATACAAACATCTTTAACTTTACATGAAGACATAAAAATGCTCACCCAGGAAAGCTCCACACTCATCAATACATGAACTCTATTGATACTCCATCTGCTCTTCCAGCAAACTTGTACTGCTATAATGTCAGCAACACAGACGTTGCTATAACTTCAGCAGCCCACAAAACACAAAGTACATTACTGCTATATGGCGTGTGCTGTTATACCATATCAATAATACATACAAACTATGGCTCGAACCCATAAATACTGCGCTGTTACACCATGTGCAGATAAGTATATACAATCTGCACTTTAACACATGCATAATCTATATTCTATCTAATACACATTAATACCTAATACACACAAATGATACCTCTACAATAATACCTAGGGCAAAACATAAATATATAATGGCCTGCTCATAAATCTTTACACTTTTATATATTTCTTTTATATACACAAACACACACACATATATCATACACACACATACACACATTAATAACTGTCCTATCCTATACCTATACATACAGTTAAAGGTATATTCCTACAGTATATCACACCTATATAAACAGTATTGTTACATGCAGATGGAGTATATAATACAGGAGACATGCAAACACACATATATACATGCACACACATACGTATACAGCATTTCAACAACATAAAGGCATAAAACAGTTAATAAATACAAAATCTGTCTAGGCACAAAACCCTGACCACAGATTGAAAAAAAAAAAAAGTATTTTTTAAGCACTGACACCAATTTAAGTTTTACATCCCCTGTTGTCCCTCTAAACATTGTCCTATACGATATACTTAAAATCAGAGCTTATTTATGACAACCAAAATTTCAAGAGAGGAAATTGCCTTTTCTGTAGTTTTTCTTGTTCTAAAATTGTTACTTTGAAATGTTTTCCTAAATCTCTTTCAAATCAGAAACATTTTTGCATTTTGTGTTAGCTGTGGCTGTCCAGTTTTCTGTTATTATGAAGACTATTTCTGTTATTTTTTTTTTTATTATTTTACATCAGGCACTTTTTTTTTTTTAACATTCAATGTAAAATCATCTACAAACTTGTCCTCCATAAAACATCAGCTCTATAAAACATTGCCTTTTCTACTGTGTTCATTTCACTAAAACTCAAATTGCCTTTAACGTAATCTTCCAAAATTGTAATTCCACATCATCGTTCCCCCCCAAGCTCCATGTGGAATCTTTCTCCCTAAAGCTGAGTATTTCTGTATTTTTAAACGTTACATTCCCTCTCCCCACACTTCACTCCCAACTTCCAGACAGGAATCAGTCAACTGTAAAGAAAGTTTTTTAAAATGCAAATCTCTCTCGCGAGTTTCTCATTCTGCCAACTCTCAGCGTTTACATTTTTTCCTCTAACTGGCCCTGGAGATTTCAAGAAGTTTTGAGAACTGTGTGAATTTCTGCCCTGTAGTCTTGTGATATAATATATATATAAACACCAACTTACATTTCCAAATGGTGCTTGAAAGAGACCCTGCATTGCCTTGTGCTGGATGCTTTCAAATATATCTCTAGCTACTTTATATACACACTATATATAGATATATCTATATATAGATATAGATATATATATATATTATCTCTATTATGCAGACTCTCTATCTGTATATCTCTCTATATATATGTACATATATATACATATTATATATAGTCTCTCTCTCTATTTATATATTATATAGACTTTCTCTGTCTCTCTTTATGTATTATATAGTCTCTCCCTCTCTTTTTCTCTCTCTCTTTATATATGATATACTCTCAGTCTCTCTCTTTTTCAATATATATTATAAAGTCTCAGTATCTCTCTCTCTCATAAAGACTGACTCTCTCTCTCATATAGACTGACTCTCTCTCTCTCTCTATTATATAGGCTCTCTCTCTGTATATATTATACTCTCTCACCCCCTCTCATATAAACTCTCTCTCTTTATATATTATATAGACTCTCTCTCTGCATATATTATATTATACTCTCTCTCTCATATAGACTCTCTCTACCTCTTTATATATTGTATAGACCCTCTCTCTCTCATATAGGCTATCTCTCTCTTTATGTATTACCGGTATATAGACTCTGACTCTCTCTCTGACTCTCTCTCATATAGACTCTTTAGGTATTATATAGACTCTCTCTTTATATATTATATAGATGTTCTCTCTCTCATATAGACTCTCTCTCTCTTTATGTATTATATAGACTCTCTCTCTCTCTCTCTCTCTCTCTCTCTCTCTCTCATGTATACACACATACATTTTATTCAATCACACATCTCTGCCTCCCACTTTTTTATCTTATGCATTTTTAGAACATAACAATTAAACTTCTCTGACCTGTTAGATGCCCCCTCATATTTCTCATCTGCCTGTATATTCCTATTGTACACTGAATAACCTCAATTCCGATTTGATTTTTTTTCCTCCTCTGCTACACTGGGGATGGGGGGGG